GTCTTTCTTCGATATGTGAAACACATAGAAACCACTGTAAATACCGATGACTTTGCTGTTATCAGAAACACATCCGCCCAAAGCTGTGTCACAAAATCGGTGGTTTGGAGCATGAGGATGCAAACGTCAAACAAGGTTCAACCCATAATCGAACTGTCTACCCAAGGCTGTGCCACGAGATTCGACGGAATTGTGTTTATATGTGAACCTCATGATGGACTAGCATAAGAAGTTCTCGACTGTTACAGAAATCAAGAAATCCAAAGATTTTTACAATCTGTGGATTCGCATTTTTTTGTTTCGTTGGATTTCCATATTTGGATTTTGAGGGTGTCGCTGGTCAAAATCAGTATATTTCTAATTTTTTTGGATTTTGTAACGAAATCCAAAACAGCCTAGGGAATACAGTGATTTCGACCGGGAACAGCAACAAAATCCAAGTTTTTCCTAGGGCATTTTCGGGGTTTCGGTACAAACTCCAAGAAACACCAGAGAATATAATGGTTTTGACCAGCGACACCAGCAACATCCAATCATTTCCTGTTTTTTTGGGGGATTCGACCCAAAAACCCAAAAAAGATAATGGAACCTTTCGAATCCAAAGATTTTGTAGAATTCTTTGGATTTTTGGATTTGCCAGCGTCTCGGTGAGCTGTTTATATAAATCTATGTTTCAATCCTTAGGTTTGAACAAAAAATTTCATACTTATCCAGCGGTTTTCATTTTGAATATATTCGGGGCTTGGCGGTTAATTTAGGAAGGATAGGAAGTTGGGACGACAGTGCAGGGTATATTTCTCAAATATCATAAAATACCCATCTTCCATCCGCTGACAAGCCACTATCTAGCACGCATACACTGTTCGCAATAGACTTGTTTGATATTGGGATTTTGTAACTTTAAGACCAGCTATGCATTGAAGAAACATTCACTGAAAAATGGCATGAGCTCAACTAATCTTTAAATTTTTGTTCAATTAACAATATATATATATATATATTAATTACAGATGTGGCGAGAACTTATAGTTGACACTGAGGAAATAACAATAGACTGCGATTACAGTACTCTAAGTCCTAACATGTCAACTACATGATCGAAACATAGTGCAAACGAGCACAGTGCATATAAATGAAAAACCGAAAAGACAGAAAGCAAATATTCGGTTTATTATCACTGAAACATCAGCCAAATTGAACTATGCAGTAACCGCAGACTACGAGGTATCATTTAGCACCATTAAATATTACTTCATGCACAGTATCTATCACTTGTTAATATTGTCGTTTACTTATGAGTTATCGTCTAAATATTGCTTGAATACCAATAGGGCGTCAGACCATGCGATATTGATCATTACTTAGTATCTCTTGTAACGATAATACGGTATTGAAGAATGAACAAAATGACCGGTATCTAACAGTTGCTGATATTGTCCTTCACTTGTCGTCAGCTATCTGTCATATATTTCCGTATTACCAAGAACATTTTAGTTATACACTCATGAGATATTGGTCGAATAACTCTTGAATGTGAAATGCAAGCGATATTCCTGTTTCATGAATATCACATTCCAAGCGAAACTAATGATTGCTAAGCAATCTCTTATAACAGTAAATCGATATTTGTTGAAGAATGACTAACATGCGCGGGGCTTAACAACTGTTGATCTTACCTCTTACTTGTGGTCAGCTATCTTCTGAACATTTCCGTAACACCAAATATATTCTCATGAGATGTTGGTCAAAAACACGCATTGATAACACAAGCTTTGACAGATTAATCATTACTAAGCATGTGTCATCATGGTAATTCGATATTGAAGAATGAATAACTACCAGACGAGTCTTTCAGGCAATATTTTTCGACATTCAAAGTACTAACAGTATATCCTAAGAATTGTTCCGTAGGTCAGTACTAGTCTGACATTGGGTTAGATCGTACCGTATCTTTGATAAAATCCCCACTAAATAATGCTCACTACGTAGCAACTTCATATGCGACCCTTTTTTGAATGTTAGCTAAACATCAAACGAATATTCAAGTAAAAGGTGTGACCATACTAACCAGGTGTCGTTGAGGAATTAAGCAAACTATCAAATACATGCTACATCCCCCCTCATCATCTACCACTTAAGTAGTAAAGAAATGACACATAGATGACACATACTTGCGGTGGAAACATGAAGACAATCTTGACCATCACAGAATAAGAGTTTGCCATTCATATAAGGTTCCAACCAAATTTCCAATATCGCCAATGTTGCAACAGTCTGATCCCATAGCTTTTCATCTCTTTGGTCAGTGGTACTGGATTTCCACTACTCACATCAGAGTGAACCGCATATCATGAACAGTCAGAAAGCCTCGCAGGTCTGGAACCATGACAAAGCCCAAAACTTTGGGTGTCGGAGTGCCTTTTACAGTAGTTACATACAGCGAGGAATAGCAGCGTGCATTAATTAAACAGCACCTCGATGTAGAAGCTTGAATCATGAGCAAGAACATCCTCTAATCGTCGTTCTATGCCTTTTTTCTAAATTATTCAGGCCCGTTTTCATCGCTTAAACCCCGATCCTAAACCTCAAGCTCCGAAGCAAGACAATATGAACTTTGAGTCTAGGGGCATGCATGACGTTTAAGGACCTCCCTTAGTATACATGAAAACACAGTAGAAGACACGACATCACATATCGTACAGTACAGCAACGCAGCAGGAGACTTCCGGCTTGTAACAGCTTCAGTGTTGCTATGCGAGTTCGCCCACTCCCCAGACCCACCAATGATGGATCATGGGGCGGGGGCGAGCATATAAACACATAGAGAGAGAGAGAGAGTATATAGTATATAGTATATAGTATATAGTATATAGTATATAGTATATAGTATATAGTATATAGTATATAGTATATAGTATATAGTATATAATATATAGTATATACTGTATAGTATATAACATAGAATATCTAACACTGCACCCCAGATCCGTCTCTGGGCTGCGATGCGCACCCACTCCGTGGCGAAGACGGTGATCGGTGCGCTGCAGTACCAGCTGCGACCTCGTTCTGGAAATGCAATCTTAAAGTAGTCCCTATATCTATATCTATATCTATATTTATATCTATATCTATATATATATATGTATATAAATCCGGCAGATCTCTCAGATCTCTCTGTCGTTTGCCGAGGCACGCGTTGTCCTCATTGCCCAAGCTGGAAACTCAGTGAAAGGCTCCCGCGTAGTTTGCATTCGTGCACGGAACAAGGAGATTCTGCGAGAGGTTGCATTCGTGCAGTTTGAGTGTATCTTAGTCCTGCCAGAGTGCAACTTACTAGAGCTGTTCTGCATCGACTCCTGAGCCAAAGCCTCGCGATCAGTGGCTGTCCGAGGATACGGAAGTACTACGAAAACACCGGCAAGCGGATCCCAGAGGTCTGCGAGGGCCTAGCAGCTGGCTGCTACCACACGGACACATCCGACTTGTATAGGAGTCGGACACACGGCAGTAGCAGGATCATGCCGAGCTGATACTCGCGGATCAGACCTTCGGTTGGAAGCCAAGCATCTTCCGTATGTCACTTAAAGGCGGGCTCTGCTCTTCAGCACCTCCTCTCCAGTTTTTTCCGGCAGGATTCTGGGAACCGGTCAAGCCTTGGGATGGTCGAGCTGAGATTTTCCTCGTCGTTGCGATCGTAATGTCCTTTCAGCGAAGTTTCACGACCAGTTCACGATCAGGTTTCGGCCGTGAAAGTCGGAGCCAGTGGTAGTGATGGAATAGCGGAATAGCGATGGTGATGATAATGTATGGTCATAGGAATCATAGCAGTAGTAGCAGCAGAAAGCGCTCATAGTATTGATAAGGGGATGGATGATCGTATTTCTAAGGACAACACAGTAGTTGCGATGGTTGCGATGATTGTGAAACTGGTTGTAAGGAAGGTGGTGCTAGATCATCGTAAAGAGCAGCATGACCGTACTCCGAACCCTGAGCTTTTAATCCAGCCTCAAAACTGACCACCCCTAAGCAGTCGGTCTTGTCCTCCAGAGCCCCAAAGGAAATCTTTCCTGCAGGGCGCAAAACGGGTTTAGGGTAGGCATCAAGAAGTCGTGTTCCTTCCTCCAACCAGTCTGTAATGCACAGTCACTGCATCCACCTTGTTCCTATGCCTTTGGCGCAGAGTGACTGGAACTTCATGAACTCGTTTGAGTGTCGGTTTAGGTGCAAATAAGCAGGAGAGGTTCTGCTTTCCGGGCTTCGAGCTCATGTGTTGGTTGGGGTGGTGACAGACTTAGGACTCCGCAATTGCAAGGATGCCCATGGCCTCAATGTAGACAAAACTCGCCGCTGCGTCGAAATGTTTCTGCGAGCCGCAGCGGCAGTCGAAAGCAAAGAAATGCCAGAGAGTTTTGGCCCCCGAAAGGTTCGAGACGGGTCCTCCAGCAAGCCAGCGAAGTCAGACACGTGCGATGATGTTCAGACGAAACAAGCAGAGAGGGAACTGTTCGAAGCGCTGCTGGCCAACCGGCCGCAAATGGAAAGAAACCAGAACGTGCTGGAGCGCAAGTTAATTAGCTCCAGAGTTCTTTGGAGGAGACCCCCTACATGCTAAATCATTCTCACAGAGTATGTCAAGAGCTACAGGCCCCACTGAAAGCGCTGAAGAGACGGAGAGACAGGCAGCAGCACGATATGAAAGAGCAGCTCGAATTGCAAAGAGCTGAGCTGCAGCAGCTGAGCACGGAGCTGGAGAAGGCCCATGCTGCGTTGCAGCAACAGAGGGGGGAGTTGAATCGCCTCTTGCGATTCAACTCCTCTGTCTGTTGCTTCGAGAGAACGAGGCGAGGTCGAGAAATATGAACCTTGCAGTACGCACCGCACGAGAGTGTGAGACAAAACTGTTGTCAGCTCTCCTTGAGCGCTCGGTAATCCAGCTTACTGAGGAACCGAGCCCCCTTCGGAAACTCCGCAGGGAGCCGGAGGTGGCTCGGTTCATGGTCTCCGCGGAGCAGGAAACTGCCGACGAGCTTCGCCAGCAGTCGCAGCAGCAGCAGCTGGAGCAGTTCGCAGAACTTCATCGAGCATCTTTTCTCCGAGAGCATCAACGTCACAAGGCCGTTGAGGCCGACGTTGAATCAACTTGGGCGTCAAAGGCCTTGTGACGTTGATGCTCTCGGATTCAACGGTTTTTCCAGCAGCCGGGGCAAAGACACCCCGGCATTACACGAGATCTTGTAATGACAGGCACAGATCTACCGACTCCGTATGGAGCTTGAGGTAGCTGAGTAAGTCTGTCAAGACAAGTTTTTGTAGCAGGGTATTCTGGCATTGCATGGGGCTTTGTAGTGCCGGTCCACCTTCAAGCCTAATTAGTTGGAGGCCTCCCCAAAGGAGCCTTGATGGAGTGTACTGCGATGCACCGTGCTTTCGGAAAGCCATTGTCCCGAGTTCCGATTTTTCTGATGGTTCCTATGCGAGATGGTCGTGGCACCAACTTTCCTGAGAATCAAAGGGTCACTGGATGCCTCGGCTGAGGACAGCGTGTGCCAGATGGAAATCCGGAAAACGACGATGCGGTCAAGCAGCTGCTGCGGAGGCGAGGCATCACTCACTCTCTCTCCACTTCCTTCCCCTGAGCCACAGTAACTTAACTGCCCATTCAACTAGCGAAGTTGCTATGAAACTGCACATGTCATGCGCTTAGTGGGTCATTGCAGTATTGAGACGAGACGGTCGCCACTGTAGCCGGAGTCATATCTGCAGATCTCTACGAAGCAACAGAATTGCAGAATGTTGCCACACGGGATCTCAATGCTCTCCTAGAATCCTTGACGCCCAGCTGTAATCGGATGCGGGCGTTGCGTTGCCCTCCCCTCAAAGCACTATGTGGAGGTACGCAGACGATCCTGTCTACCTCGTCTTCGATGTGAATGAGAAGACTGGTGCCGAAGTGCGGAACCTCGTCTGGAGGTCAGTGAAGGCCGGGGGAGAGGGGGGGGTTGTTTAACAGATTTTCCTCGTTGCTGGAGAGCTGGCTGTACTCCGAGAGTTTAATTCGCTTGATTAGTTCAGTTGTGCGCAGAAGCAAGGCCAGTGATAACCCAGACGTGCAGTCTTGCCATCCGGCATGGAGTTAGGACATATTCTCGGAAGGCAAGTGTGTGTGTGTGTGTATATATACATACATATATAAATATACATACACATAAATACATGCTACCCCTCCTCATAGAAACGTAGTCAACTGCATATGCCGGGATGCACAAGTCAAGGTGCAAGTGCAGGGGAAAGTCTTCCTCAGAATCTTGAATCTAGGATCCGAGGCCTATTCGTGTTGAGTCCATTCGAACACGCTCTGTCTGCTTCTGCAGCGATTTTTTTTATGCTTAAGCACAAGGAAGACAGTAACGATCTTCAGAATCCCAATAACCTAAGGCTTCCTATACCTGAGATTTACATGAGAGGTGCCATCTATATATATATATATATATGTATATACTGTTATATTTTTATCATGATCATACACATATTTTCATATCTCTGTGTTGATCAGCAGTGCGTATCCCGACGCAGGATTCTGGACAGTACGCTGGAGGCTGGATGGGCTGGGGACCCCGCCGCCTCACAAATGTGACCCACTTTGGTCTCGGAAAGAAGCTTGATGGTGAGATGAATCTACATGTAGCATCCGGGGCAAGCCATGCATCTGGTGAAACTCTTAAGAGAACCAGCCAGGGTGCCCAGACTGCACACGGACTGCATTGGTGAGCTGTGCGCTGGATGATGTCGGGAACCACTGTTCCAAGACCCAGGTGACGAAGCACCCATGAGGGAAGGCTCCCCTGGCATAGGCGCACGGCTGAGCCCGAGCAGTGTGAAGATTGCAATTTCCGACAATAGTGTAGAGCAAGCTGCATGCTGCATTGTCGCCGAAGACCAGAGTGAGCCAAGCAAATCGACCAGGGCTGGCAACCAACGAATGAATAGATGTTAATCACAGCGAGACCCGATGCCAGGAGAGGAGAACATCCCCTACAAGTATGCCAGCGTGAAATGCAGGCAAGTTCTGCCAAGACTGCACCAGAATGACATCAACAGCACCACCAAGAGCAGTATAGGCGACTTATGTTGCAGCGGTAAGGAATCAGGGGTTGTGGTCTCAGTCTTTGTTGTCGTCGTCGTGGCAGCGGCGGTAGTGGTGGGGTCGTGGTGCGGTAGTGGATGTGGCAGTGGGAGTGGCAGTAGTGGCAATAGTGGTAGTAGCCGAAGTAGCAGAAGAAGAAGTAGTAGCCGTCGTCGCCGCCGCAGTTACGGTACTGGTGATGATAGTGTAGTAGGTGCTGTAGTAGGTGTTGTAGTGGGTGGTGGTAGTGGTGGTGGTGGTGGTGGTGGTGCTGCTGCTGCTGGTGGTGGTGGTGGTGGTGGTGCTGCTGGTGGTGGTGGTGGTGGTGGTAGTAGTAGTAGTAGTATTATTAGTAGCAGCAGCAGCAGCAACAG